GTAGAAGACTACTGAGGTCCCAGAAGCTTCACTGGTCAGTCAGACAGAGTCGACATCAGAATTGCTAGTATTATCAGTGTTAAGACACCATTTCTAGATCAGTGTGCCCCAACCCAGTCCTTGGTAGGAAGCTGGGAAGGAGCAAAAATGCAGACTGTCTGGGTGTCCCCAAAGACCGGATTAAGAAACACTGTTCTAGAAAACAGAAGGAAGACCCTCCCATATAGAGAGGACTCTGGGTCTCAAGGCATCTGGGTGGGCATTTGATCTCATAGGTAGTTTTAAGTGTCAGTATCACTGACACTTTCCAGCCTGGGATTTCAAGAAAATTGTATAAATACATGGTCAGTGAGATAATTCTTGTCCAAAATATTAGACCAATTAATACACAGCTACTGACTTTCAAAACTGTTTTTTCATTTTCCATTTTCAAACACACGTATAACCTCAACGAAGCAGGAGGTAAACTACTGTGCTGTGAAATATTTGAGAGAAAAGAAGGCTTAGAGATGCAATCAGGAAATAAATGAATAATTCAGGTCAAAGTGCAAACAATTCCTTATCATGTAGTTATAAAACATGTAAACATAGCATACACATATACATATACACATGCATATATACACATATACATATATACACACACACACACACATATATACGTACGTACGTATGTATGTATGTATGTATGTATGTATACATGTATGCACACACATACACCTGTGCGTGCGCACACGCGCGCACACACACACACACTCCAAAACACCAAGACTGTTACGGCCTTCTGAAACACAAGGTGAATCTTGAGTGATTTAGTGCTGCTAAGAGGGATTTCGGTTTGGCTCAGCTTATCAGAGATCAAACACCTTTTCCTGGAAGAGGCTATTCAAACACTGCGCCATTTGCCGCGAGCAGAACACTGCACCATCATAAACATTAAAAAGATAATTAGAATAGGCTCCCCAGCTGCTTTTGAAAGCCGCTCGTCACTATCATGTACATTCCTGCCACATTTGTCACATAAATTGAAATGTAATTTCTCCTTCATAAGCACTAAAATTAGTGCAGTTAAAAAATACACCACTGTAGTTTAACGTGTAATATGTTGATCAAGAAGTCTCCAGTCTGAGACTGCAATAAGTGTTACATATTTACAGTCATGCACTAATTACTACTAAAAAAATAGTGCAAAATGACGACAATAAGACCCAGGACTCAACATCAAAACTTTCTGCAAAAGACCCAAGACAAAACTTGACAAAACCTTCAATTCAATTCAATGTATTTTTATATAGCGCCTTTCACAACAGAGTTGTCCCAAAGCGCTTTACAGGATTGTGTTGTGATACATAAAACAGAAGTAGAGGGAGATACGGAATGCAGAAAAAAGGAAAGAAAGAAATTGAATAAAGAAAGCCAGAAGACAACGGAGGAGAGGAACCAAAAACTCCCAAGTAGGGAGAAAAAAAAGCTCTGGGGGTCCAAGGTCACCTGGCTGCCCCCCCCCCCCCCGGGCATACTAACATTACCGAAACAGAAAAGAGTGGACATGCTTGCTAAAAGGGATGTAAACACTGGGATTGAGAATGAAGGAAAAGTCATTTAAAAATGTGTCAACTCCATCTTTTAGTATAAAAATAGGCTCATTATACAGAAAGATTCAAAGGCTGTTCTAAGGATAGAAAAAAAGTCCAAAGCTGTAGCTACATGGACTTTGCGCTGAATGTATATTACACCCTGTACATGACCAAACCCTGAGATATGACAATGTGAACCGAAAGCAAATCACATACCGAAAGCTGCTTGGTTAATGCAGGGGATAGCCTGCATGTCCACATCTGTAAAGCTACTCCCTTAACAGCTCTGAGGGTTCCCTGACTCCTTTTAGGGTGGCTTTGGCCAAACCAGCTGGCCAACTGCACAAGTCCTCCAAGTGCCACTCAGGCACCAAAAAGAATCAAGGACTCATTCAAGTTACAAGAATCACTCAGATGGGTATCAGCAATAAATATATGCCAATGGTCACAAATGAGACTGCATTTACAGTATCAGCTAGAAATATGAATTCATACTGGGAAGGACTCATCCATAACAGAATGTTCTAGACAGAGAGCTGACAGACAGCCCACTGTTGTCCGTCGCACAGCATGCAATGCCAATACCTTACACAACAGTTGCACAATTGTCACCCGCCTGAGATCAGCCTGCCGGCCTTGGGGTTTTGGGACAGGCCAAAAGTACAAACGTTTGCTCCGGTTATGTGGCCTCGCTGTTTGGCTGCCGTGGACGACAGTTTTCTTTCAGCATTAGCAAACAAGTTGTCGCGATAAGCTGCAAGGGTTCTTGTGCTTTAGGTACAAGACAAAATGGCTGAACAACCTACACTAGGAACAGGCTTTGCTCCAGCTACATCTTTACTACGACCTGCTTCAGTTTCAGTATGATCATGTTAGGGACAAAATTTTATGAGCCGTGAGCAGGATATGAACATTGCTCTTAGCACCATTCATAAATTTCTCAAAAATTATATTACTCAGATATCAGATCCTAAGCTGGAACATAATACTTTCTCATAGAGCATTTAGTCTATGATAGACAAGGTCCCATTCCGTTTACAGTGTGTTACAAAGGCTTGGGGGCTTCCTGTTTTCAACAGCCCTGCTGAAGCACGGCACTCCTATAGACCAGTTCCTCCTCCAACTCTGCGTATCCAGACCAGCAGCTAAAAGGCCAGCATATCTCCAGTGCGGGTTCCATCTGTAAAGGTCACTGTTGTTGGGAAGTGTGGGGGTGTGGCTGGAATGGACAACAGGCTGGACAGGAGGCCAGGCGTGGGCATGGGACCCACCCTGACGCAGCATCGCGGCGCCACCATCCAGCCCCTGCGACCCAGTGCCTGAGCTACCAGGGAAGCACTGGGTTATACTGACCATTCAGGCTAGGATAAATATCCAGGAAGTCTTTCTAGACAAAGTGCCACAAGATCAACCTAGGACAGTGATATGGCAGCCTGTTGCTTCATTCAGAATGCATCATGACGCTACTGCATACGATGGGTGAGTGTGTGTGTGTGTGTGTGTGTGTGTGTGGGGGGGGGGGGGGGGGGGGGGGGGGGGGGGTTAGATCAGCCACCAAGCTAGCAGAAGTAATATCATTATTATTATAGTTTCAACAAACAATGCAAGTCTCACGGGTTCTATTTTGACCAAGATTTTTTGGTCAGTCGAATGCAAAAGTTACATTTATCTTTTAGAGCAAATTCATGTACAACCCCCCCACTGAAGATACACAGAGAATGAAGAAACAGCCTAATTCCATCAGGAGGCCTAAACAGTTGGTGGCACCTCCCCCCTTGTCACTGTAGAGAGATGCATGGTGGCTGGGTGACAAACAGAAGGACAGGCTTCGGCTGTGCTCCGTACGGAGAGCCTGGTGGGGAGACTCCTGGTTTCAGACATGGGGTCTATCACCACACAGACCAAGCATGCCTGAGCAGTACCTGAGGAATCACATGCAGGACACATCTCGAAAGGTATCAATCTGAACAGCTGTCGCCTCATTTAAAAGCTGAGGATTTATGAACCTTAAGGCTTAAGGGATGAAAAGAACAATTAAGGCATGCTAGAGCCTGCACAGACAATGTTTTTTGTAAGTTGTCAATAAAAAGACTTTAACACAGATTTAACAAACCTGTTCGAGATTTCATCTACACTGGCTGGACGGGTGATTGTCCCACATGAACGCCAACAGGGGAACCCAGAAGTCTGAAATTCATACCATAGGAACATATATTTCTGAACCTCAGTTTTTAAAAACATAGATTCCAAATGGAAATATACTCATTCTGGTGTAGATAACAATGCCAAATATTTGCCACCATGGCTCTACAACTGAACACACCATGCAGATTACCTCAGCTTTGATGTCTTAAGCTGTCAGTGGACTAATATGTACTAAACACATTTCCAAAACCAAATCAAAGAAAATAACATAAATAAAATTGGGGAAACATCTTTTAACTTGGGTAAGTAAAAACTTGAAATGACAGAATACTCCACTTACTAGGTCAGCCTCATTAGGAAGTAACATCAACATCCTTTTTTTCCTGCTATAACTGCTTGTACCATTGTTAGGCTACGCTTTTTATTCTTGGGAAGAAAATGTGCTGTAACACTATTATTTTGGATAAGAGCACTCCTTAAACGGAAAGGAGCGGTGTTAAAGAAAGTCGCATGGAGTTGCTGCACTTTCCTAAAAAAAGAAGCTGTCATCAGCACCTCCACCATCATCAGCATACGCCTGAGATCACAGGCTTGTATACTATCTATTACCGTTAGTTAAGTATTAACTACAAGTTTATTAACACGGGAAATGAGAAAACATCCACAAATGGCTGGGAGCTCGGTTTTATGTGCCCTGCAGATCACGTCTGACTTCATCGTTTGTACATTATTTAAAACACTGTCGAGATAAAATGACTACTTCAACGGCCAATAAATCTGGATAACTCAATATAGCGATAGCACTGGCGTAACGATCCTCACGTTGTCCACAACATTGCATTAGATGTAAAGCGACAGGACTGTGCATGAAAATCATTTAAACATGTTTCGGAAGAAGAATTCACAAGAACTACAACGTGTGCATTCGATCTCGGACAGCATGTGAAAGTTCAGGCTGCAAAACTATGAAACGCTGCAGATTTTTGTTTATAACACAAGGCTTTCATAATCATTCAAAGTAACTTGTTGAGCAAACCCATAGAAGTACTTGTGCCACAAGCCACGGGGACACTCAAGCCCTAAAAGTGTGACCAGCTCGGATAAGAAGAACAAGTGAAACTCAAACACCGAGCATGATGTAGCTTGCAAAACTAACGAAATGCATTAAAGAGCATTGCATTGTGTTTCTGTGTTTTTTCCTTCTTCATCGACTGATGAAGAAAGTTCCAGAAACGTGGCTGTTTAAGGTGAACTGCTACTTTTTGGTCCGTGACTCACCCCATTAACCAGTCCATGATGGCTGGGAGGGTAGGATAGATCCACTGCCTTCTGGAGGCGTCCCCCGGCTTATCTGGGTCCCTCCAACCTTTTATTGGACAACTTCTCCGTAGGGGGATGCTTATACTTTTACCCGCAGGTTATTTAGAATTTCTCAATTTTGGGAGCAGGAGTTGCCAGTAAGGAGAAAGTGGAGCATAACGGCAAGCCTGGCGCTACTCCTCTAGAAGGCACTCGAAAGAGGACCGCATTGACTTTCAGCTTAAGACAGGCAATCGCCGACAACTATGGCGGTGTAAGCCGGTCCTTTTGGTCCCGACAGCAGTTGCTGTGCTCCGCTGTAACGTAGCTCCTCTTCCTCTTACAGGACCAAAGAGAAGGAGTCCCGGGGGGTGTTGCTGTACCGTCCTGGGTCATGAACGGCTGCATGGGTTACTCAACCGCTTCTGCGACCAGGCGCTGCCTCATACAGGAAACCCGGAAGTAAACATTAACCCGACCTCCCCCTTTCTTCCCGGGATGTTTATGCGTTAACGCACAGCAGCCGAGGTGACCGCTGGGAAATGTAGTCCAATTAGCCATCACGTATCGCATATTCAGAATCAGCACTGGGTTGCACCAACTTAGCGTAAGTTCGATCGTGTAAAGTGTACCTTAAGTCTTACGTTGAAACTAAATAATTTGAAACTAGTGTCATTCTTTGTCTGTTGCACCACTCTTACTTAAGTTAATCGTAGTTAGTAGCTGCTAAATGAAAATATTGTCGAGCAGAATGACGTTTTCGCCGTGAACAACCAATCAATATCACTGTCTGATATTACCGGAACCAACTGGACGTTCCACATGTTTGTTGAGTCTGGGATATATCTACCGATGTGTTTTCTCTGTATTTATGAGAATTATTTAAAATACAGCTGTAATGAACCCGTAATGTGCCGTGTAAACGTGTTGGCGAGGTAGCTTGCTTGGTTTGGTTTAGGGGGGGCAACGGATCACAAAACTCGCGGTTCGGCTCACATCACGGTATTTGAGTCACGGATCGGATCATTTTTCGGATTAACAAAAAATAAAGAGACAAATACAACTTTGTTTTTCATTTATTACTGAAATAAATTAAGAACTGAAAGAAAACTCAAAGCGAGGAACTTTTAACGTGCTCGTTTATATGAATACACAGACTGCTTCGTCTGTATCTTTTCACTGCAACTCTGCATCGGACCGAAGTCCATAGATGACATACATCATTGTCGTTTTCTGTCTCGAATCTAATTCGAATGTAGGAACAGTTTACGCTTAGCTGCATAATCACGAGGCTGAAGTTGGCTCCTTATTCGGATTTTCCGGTCCACCTTAAAATGTTGCGCAGCCCAATGCAATGACGCGATTGCGCTTGTAGGGCTCATTTAGCGAGGCTTACCTTCAGAACTGTATTTGGCTTTCGATTCGTATTAACTGAACACGATTCTACTGACTTGTTACTATTTTGAGGAAAGTACATATCTGGGCAGTTTCAGTAATAGTATGTGTGTATTTTATCAGAAAATGAGACAAACGCAAACGTCTTTCCACTCCCAATCAGGCCCGGAAATATGCCCAATCAGGCAAATATGAACTTCTCAGTACACGTCAGATATCCCACTATATAGAAAAAGTGACATTGTCCTGGCCCAGACTGATTTAATGCTTTAAAAATCAGATGGAAGCAAGGCATGTCATACTATAGTGCACAAAGGTGTGGATGAGAAGCCAGTTTTCCAGATTTTAGTTGAGTATTCATTTGTGAAGTAACTAAACATTGAAGCAGATTACTTACTCAGACAGGTTAAATTACAACTTAAAATATATTTAAAATGCAAGTATTTGAAACACTGCTTAATTCCAGTAATGTGTACTGTATAGTTCTAATTCATTACATTCACTCCCTATACACAGAAAAAAAAAATTGGGTCATTCTTTCAACTTATACAATTCAATTATAAGAAATGTTTCCATCAATCTAAATCATATAAATACAAATAATATTAATAATTTAATATGCATATTAAGATTCACAAAGTTTAAATTGTTCAATCACTGATTCAAATAAATCTTAATAAACCTAGACACTTAAACAAGCTGTCTTTATAAATCATAAATTAATTAAATGTATAAGCTTTAATTATAAAGACAGCTTGTTTAAGTACTGTCTCTTGAGACCTGAAGAAGTTACATGCACATGCAAGTGCTTTCTGTTGCCAGTGAACTTTACATACTGTAATGTACAGTAGAGCCTTTCAATGTCAAAACTAATGCCTTTGACATGAATAAGTATCAGTTTGCTAAAGAGAAATAGCCAGTGACAATGAGAAAGTGAGAAATGAGTATCATTCAGAATTGTGGCAATCAGGAGCATACTCTTGATAATGTTAAGTATCTTTCATGAAATATGCCAAAAGCAATCGAGAAAAAAATGTAATGCTGTATGGTACCATTTCTCAGTTGTTTTGGAGCATTTCTGAAATTAACATTTTCAAAACAACAAGCATTATCTCCACACCATAATGTCACTTCTGCACAGCAGAATGTCATGTATCATTGATGATTGTACCACACTTGTTGTTTTGCTTTACTTTGAAATTTTGGTCTTCTTCTCTTGAAAATTCACGTACAGTTTTTCTTTTTTGGTCACATCATGCTAACCTAAGAGCGCCCTTGTTTGTTTTGTTAATTGTCATTTAAGAAATCCAGCAAAGCAATCAAAAAATTGTAATCCATTCCCAAATTATGTTGTTTGCATAAATACATTACCCAGTTGCTTAAAAATATTTTCCTTTAAAAGCAGATAGATAGATAGATAGATAGATAGATAGATAGATGCATTCTGTAAATACAAATATATCAGACTTAAACAGCAGAAGTTTCTAATGAGCCATGGCTGATATCATCATATGACATTTGAACTGCAGATATATTATTCAGCTCCAAAACACAGAGCTGGGAATGCTCACGGGTATTTCAGCATAATTGCAAGCCGCACTTTCAGTTCAGAGACGTCCTGTATTCAGATTTTGAGACAAGTGTTACACTCATTGTTTCATTTGAATGTTCTTTGTTGTCCTAATGAAATTCTTGCATTAATGTCTAACATTCACAGATTGCATCAGGCTAATTGTAAGAGGCACATTTTGTAGAATAATTAAATGGCTAGGGTTAAAACTTTTGTAAGGTGCATGAACTGATAACTGATATTTGTGTCCATGTGTCTCATGGAGAGCAAGATGGGAAGATAAAGAGAAGCATTCCAGTGTAGCTGTACTCATACTTGTGCAAGTGGGAAATACAGGATCATTTAATTTCAATCAATACTTAACTGCATCTTTTCTAACGCACCAAGGGTTGTACTTCAAACGCGCATGCTCAGATTTCAATTAAAAACATGTAAAACCATTGATCGACACTAGGCGGAGCTGTGAATACACAAACCAAACAGTTATGGGGCCTCATTTATGAAACTGAGTAAATTTCAGAATGGAAGTATGCATATGCAGTATAAATACACAAAAAATGGTGTAAGCAAAAAAGTTTTTTTTGAACTTCTCAAATTTGGCATATGCACATTTGAAGCTGCTTTTTTCCGTAGGCCTACGCAACCTCCAGGCAAAAAGACATTACCTGCTGAGATGCTGTACGGATCTTTTTCCTACATTAAGTGTTCCTCATTAAGCAGAAAATGTACATTATGAACAATAATGTATTGTTTAAACATGGAGATCATTTTGAATAATAGTTTGTTAAGATGAATAATGTTTAGTGTTTGTATTTGAGGCAGTTTTCCTTGTAGGGGCCAGCAGGAAGTTGGGACCTGTCCTGTGACTGGAGAACATTCAGCCTAAGTGCAGAGCGTTTAACCAGGATGAACACGTACATTTCCTGAGCCCCATCTTGGCACTAACAGACAACCCAAAATCAGTATAAACACATGTGTTCCAAGATGGAATGCCGGACCCAGCTCAGCCTATTCTGAGAGATGACCTCATTGCCAAAGTACTCAGTTTCACCCATTCACAGACCCTGTCTCCTTTTTCCGTTGCTTCCTGTCATTTTCTTGAAACTTCTATGTGGCAAGAAAGGGAAAAGCAATTGTGTTTAGTTTCAAGCTAAGTTAAAATGTTTCGCTGAGCAACGTTAAATAACTCCTGCTCTTCAGCAGCTTCATTGGTTTCCTGTCAGATATCATATTAATTTCAAGATTTTGCTATTAACCTGTAAAGTCCTTCATATTATGGCTCCTGCCTCCTGTCTTTGGGACTCACTCCCTCTTGATATTTGAAGTACTGACTGTTTCTCTACATTCAAATATCAGCTCACAACTCATCTTTTTAAACTTGCTTATTCACTTTAATTTTTTAAACTTTATTTAGATAGCCTTTAATTTAATTGATTATGATGAATTTGAATGTATTAATACACATACAGAAGTTTGCATATTGTGTGGATTGTATTTTTTTGTAAAGTATTTGAGGTAAATGTATTATTATTATGATTTATTTTGATAGATAGATAGATAGATGATAGATAGAGAGATATTTTATTAATCCAGAAGGAAATCTTAAAATAATGTTTTAGAAATTCTCAAACCTTTCTTGACATGACATAGAAATAATTCAATAAAACCAATCTAACAGTGTAAATTTCCTCAGGGGGATCCTGGCCACAACATGATGACTAATTAGCCAGAGCAGCATTAAGGGCAGCAATAAGGGCAGCACTAAGGGCAGCATTAAGGGCAGCACTAAGGGCAGCATTAAGGGCAGCATTAAGGGCAGCACTAAGGGCAGCACTGAGGGCAGCACTGAGGGCAGCATTGAGGGCAGCACTGAGGGCAGCATTAAGGGCAGCACTAAGGGCAGCACTAAGGGCAGCACTGAGGGCAGCACTAAGGGCAGCACTAAGGGGTGCTAAGGATGCCCGCATAGGTATGTCAGATACTCTTCTAGGTTTCCAGCTTCTGAGATACCCCGACTCCACTTGCGCGCTGACAGTACCTTCCGAGAAAAAGGGAAATTGGCCGGCAGAGCCCCTAGAAGTACCCGCATCCTCTGCACAGAACGGCTGCCCAATTTGCGTGCTGGCTTCTGAGGTGGCGCTGACTTGCCAGTCAGTTTCACTCTGTCTCAGACTGGAGTACCTAACTTTCGTGACGTGGGGGGAGGAGAACGGTGTCGAGGGCGCTCTTAGGTTAGCATGATGTGACCAAAAAAGAAAAACTGTGCGTGAATTTTCAAGAGAAGAAGACCAAAATTTCAAAGTAAAGGCTTTTTTTTCAATTATGATTAATTATATATACAAGCGTGCTGTACTTTGAAGAACCCATTTCATAAGATGTTTTTTCTTCTTCTTCCTCTATAGATATATACATATACATAGTTATTATTATTATTGCAGGTTCCCTCTGTGTCCTCGTGTGGTTTGCTCCCTGTACTCCAGTACACAGTCCAAAAACATGTTAATATTAATTGGTGTTGCCGCTGTGCGTGTGATTGGTGTGTGCGCCTGCGATGGCTTGGCACCCCGTCCTGGGTCATTCCCTGCCTTGTGCCTATAGCTTCTGGGATGGGCCCCAGACCCCTGTGACACTGCATAGGATAAGCGGGTGTAGAAGATGGATGGACGGCTGAATGGATGGACAAAAAAGACGAATTCCTCACAAAAAACACAACATGCCAAATTACATTAAGAAACAACAAAGCTGGGTATGACCTTGGTGTACTTCCCATCCCCTTTCCTCAGCAGCAAATGCAGTCCTGCAGACACTGTGTTATTGGATATGCATCTGTCTGCAGGAGATGCCATCACCTTGGCAGAAATAGACAAGGCTATCGAACAGCAGGGCCCCACAATCGCTAATAATCTGCCCTCTGCTCTCTGTCTGTCTGACTCAATGGCTACAGTGTAAAATTTCATATGTACAGTGCTACAATACAAATATTTAAATTGTATAAATGAAACTGATTTACTGTTTATATGGTTAAAATGGTTATTGATGTACATAACATATCCCAGTTAGGCATAGGTAAGAGCTGCCGTTCAATCTTTAAAACAAAAAAACAAAAAGAGTATGGCATTAAAGAAAAAATGAGTGGCTTCCGTGAGATAGGAATGACTTGAATTTCTCAACGTGGGTGTTCATTCTAATTGTTGACGAGCAATTTCAGAATCTAACAGTAGGTGGCAGCATTAAACCCCTCAGTTTAGAGTCCTGCCATTCATAAAAGCCTGCGGGAAAATCATTCTAGCAGAATTTCCGTCTTAACGTGCAGGATTAGTCATGCTTATAATTTACCATCATAATCATCAAAGTCCGGTTTCCTGAGCATATACAGACATCCTGCCAGCCCTGGAGCTACCACTCCATGGATACAGCATCAGCACAGACCAGCTGATCATCAAAAGCAGTCCCAACAGAACATTTAAAAGAAGACTATGATTCCACTCTGAAGATCACCTCTGGTGACACCCAAATGCATAATGCTGGATTATATAATTAGGTATACTGAAGTGTGACCTGCAGCCCTGCAGACAAAAATTACTCTATAAAAGTAACTGATGTTAAGTTGCTATAAATGTGTATTGTGTTATCTGTATTGGGAAGGGTACCATATAGAATTGAACTGAACTGAAATGAAATAATTATGAATAATTCTTCACGTTGCTCCAAATAAACAGTTTGCCTACATTAATAAATTATGCTTCTTACTTCCTCTGCCTTGCTTGCTGTACTGGTGAAGGTAACTTTACAAATGAAAGTAAGATTGAAATATGTGCCATCTGCAGCACTACATAAACTTGCCCAGCATGCCCAGCGGTTTAGTTCCAGAGGGATTACCTGGTTTTGGCTGGCACCTTTTCTGGCAGTGCCGCACCCTCACGTCCATATTTATAGCTCCTCTGATTTCCCTTTTTGCCATCAAACGCAAAGCAGGCTGGGCCCATTGGCAGGGCTCAGGTTATGCGAGTTCAGGAGGATGAAATGGAGGGAAAAAAAAGAGACAGAGAGAAAAACTGTTTAATTTTAAAGCAGCATTAGTCACTCACTTCAAGCAAGTGGAAAAGTGAGGAACGCAGCATTGACGTAACAATCCTAACAGTTTCCATTTATAAGCTTCACGCAGAGCAGCCAGGTGGACACACGGCCTGCGCACGTCTGCTAGCAATCAGCTACTCTGCCGCTGCGTCTCCTTGGGCCAGATACTTCAGCTCTTCCTCTCTCTCACTGTCTCTCTTTCTCCACACACACACACAAACACACATGTTGGCATACCTATTTAACAGGGGACCTTCCATTCATTTCCACGGGATAACCCTAAGCCCAACAATGACAACCATAACCCCTACTCAGCCCTATCCTTAATCATAAGTAAAAAAAACGAAGTCTTCTGGCATTTTTGGCTTTTTGATTGCAGTCACAGATTTTTATTAAATTGAATTACCTCTTCTGGGGACTGAAAAAATTGGGACCGGAAAAATGGTCCCCACAAAGTCAAAATAACTGGTTTTTATCAAATTGCCAGGACATTTGGTCCCCACAATGTAATATATACATGACCCACGACCCCCTCCCCCCACACACACTTATAGTCAAATTTAGCTTATTCAAAATATGCACTATACAGCTAAATCAATTCTGTAGTGCTTTAGAGATGAATTTAGACTGAGGTACTTTTCAGGTAAAGGACATTCATTCCTGTAACATCATCTTAGCTATCAGATTCTTGTTTTTTCCAGGAGTCTTATGACTTGCATCATCGCTCAGTCTGCAGTCATTGAGCTAGCCAGAATGGCATTGAGTTATGTCTTTTTCCTTTTAATCCTATTACTGCACGGTGTCCTCTTACGCTGAAAACGCAGACACTTTTGAAGGGTGTGCTTTTCCAGTCTCTTAGTAGAAAACATAGCTTGTGCATTTAGCTTGACAGTGCTGTCCTTGTAAGAGATGACAAGGACTGTGATCAGTTTTAAAGAAACTTCAAAGTTAAGTCTAGAATAACATTATCTTCCACTGATGTGAACTTCTTCAAACATTCTGAAAATAACCATTAAACACAACTGTTATGCTAATTATTGTCAGAGTTCTGGGAATAGTTTGGTAGTCATTGAACTCATAAAGCCTCGTAAAGCAGCATGAGTACTAATTTAGATAAAATACCAAGAAAAGTTTTCTTCCAGGTCCTTTCATCCCACCACTTATGGTCAGAAATGAATCATAATCACTGTCAGCTACTCAGACTTTACAGCATATTGAGTAGGAGGAGGGTCCTAATCATCGTGATCTGGGTACACAGGAAACCCCACAATGATCCACAATACTTTGTGTAACATTACTCACCTCTGAGACAACCTAATAATAGTTCATGTGCACATAAACACATCTACCATCTACTTACACATAATGTTCTGTGATAGGGGATCCTGGTGCTTAATCACTTCTGGAGAGTTGTGAGCATCTCTCATTGATGTGCATGACAGGCTGATTATGACGGTGAATTTCATATAGGAAGCAATGGGTCTTTAGTAGGTTCGGTAGTTTAATGGTCATATTTAATACTTTATCACATAAGCACACATTTTCATGTGTACTTCTTATTAAGTACTACTGGTACTTTCAACCTAGAAAGAACACTCTAAAATTGGAATGATTTTTTTCTGAACTTCTTGAATGCAATAAAATACATCCAGAAATTCTGCCCTAAGAACATAAGAAATTTACAAACGAGACGAGGCCATTCGGCCCATCAAGCTCATTTGGAGAGAACTTAACTAATAGCTCAGAGTTGTTAAAATCTTATATAGCTCTGGAACGAGCTCTGTATAGTGACCAAAAGAATAAACGTGCAGACACAAATGGCAGAAATTAGTTTTCTCTGCAAGTCTCAGCCTTAGAGATAGGGTGAGGAGCTAGGACATTCGGGAGGAGTCAAAGTAGAGCCGCTGCACCTCCACATAGGAGGAACCAGCTGAGGTGGTTTGGGCATCTATGTAGGATGCCTCCTAGACGGCTCCCTGGGGAGGTGCTTCAGGCATGTCTAACCAGGAGGAGGCCCCTGAGCAGACCAAGGAGAGATTATATCTCTTGGCTGGCATGGGAACGCCTTGGTATTCCCCCGGAGAAGCTGGCTTGTGAGAGGATAGTTTGGGCATCCTTGCTTAGACTGCAGCCCCCGTGACTCAACCCTGGATAAGCGATGGAGAATGAAAGAATGATAAAAAGGACTTTGATTGCACCAACAAAAGAGTCTCGAAAAACTTGCGTGCGAGATCACCACAGATCTACAATTAAGCCAGGAAAAAAGAATAAGGGTGATTTAAAAAAACAGTCATAGAGCAGTTGAGTTGGCTTAAACAGCATGCAGCCATTCATGCATGAAACTCTGACCAGGATGAGTGGATGAAAAACTGGATTTGGTCTTTACAGGGCAGGAGTTCCCTTGATCCAGAAGGAGACGTCACTTTTGTCTGAGCGCTGCAATCGTCAAAGCCACATGGACTCACCCCATGCCATTTGCTATTACTAGTTTTCTTATATTTGGAATTCAGCAACATACAGGTTTTTTTTATGACCCAGTCTGGGATCAAATGGACGTAATTTAACTATATTTCCTATATACAAATTTGACTACATATGTTTTCTACACAACATATGTGATCACCATTATTAAAGTTTAGAAGGGCTCTCAAGATCTCAATGTTGAATAATGAGTGACAATGTGAATTGCTTTCATATAACTCAAATGCAGAATGTTCATTGGTAAATCATCACGCTAAACTCATTATAACGAAGATCATCCACCCGACATTCATCCATCCATAGGGACCTGCAAATTATCCACATAAAAAAGAGACAAGAGGCTTTTTGCTTGAGTTTTTGTTTCATTTTCACAAAACAGGTACAAGGGAAGGAAAAGCCTTTCAGTTTAACCTGAGGTATTTTGCATCAAGCAGCCAAAGGTATCAGAATTTTCCTTTAAAATTACATTGCAATTTACAACAAGATAAAAATCAATAATGACAATTTATTATAATCAAGACAATCTGCATCATTTCATTACATAGGTTATAAATAATAATTATAATAATGGTAACAACAATGTTTTTCAAAATACTTAGAAAAGAAAAGAAAAAAGAAAAAGGAAAAATGACACACAGTCAATCAAAGTCTGAATTTTCAGCAGCACAAACAGAAGGTCAAAGGTCGTCATTTGAAAATGCAACCAGGATCAAAAATAAATTTATATATTTATATATTTATATATTTGAGTAACTGCATTCACTTTAGTAATGATAAAATCCTTTCCTCGTGCATTTTCATAAAGAAAGAATAATGAAAGGGATAATAAGGCCAAAATGGGGGCTGATTTTATTCTGTATCAAAATACTCTATCTACGGCAGAGCTGAACACGAGTGAGTAACGTAGCATCGCTTGCTGGAAGCCGCTCTGTGGAGCAGGGATCCAAGGTGTTCTATAGCATCGTATTGCACCGACAACAGGGCTAAAAGACACCACAGCATGTTCTGATTAAAATGTGCTGTCAGGGTCCATTCAAGATTTCAGGTTCATTTTAAAGATGCATGGGAAAGTTACACAGATCAGAACCAGAGCATCGCTGCTTTAGGGGCGTTTTAGTTCCCCTAAAACATCCTTTAGCCCCCAGAATAAATGTGCACTAATTAGCTTAAATAATGTGCTCTAATTCATTTTCATTAAAATCCATAAATCTCTCATAACGCTCTAAGGTCACATGTATAAGGTTTGTCATTCATCCTTAATCTGAATCTCCCAGAAGAAAATGCATGCTTTGAAGATTAGGTGAGAAGGGGTACGTGTATCAGTTATTTCCATTGGGATTTTTGTTTTAGGGATATTGCTAGAAGTTATCTAAATCCCTAAAGTCCATCTTGGTTACACAGAGAAAAAGGAATCAAAAAAATAATTAAAAGTATTGCTTGAGTTGAGTTTGTATATTTCTGGTTTCAAAAACACCCGAAATAAACCGTCATGATTTCACCATATTTATATAGTTTTTCTCGCTGACTGAACAAATAAAGTAAATTAAAATGAATTATCAAGAAAGGCGCATTAACAGCGCTGTGACACACACGCACACATGCACTCTCTCACTACACGCGTGTGACCTCACCACCTACAAGGTCACAGGGTTATTTCCCAGCATGCTCAGCGCTCACAAGCACATCACAGGTGCCCTCCAAGCCACCGGTGGCATTGTCAGTTCTGCGGCGCGGCCGCCCACCGGGCATTGCTGGAAGAATCCGTCGCGTTCGCATTTATTAAATGCATATGCGCTCTATGTGTGTTTTGCCACATGCTCGCTGCCATTTAGCTAGCTTGCGGCCTGCCCAGCACAGAGTCCTTCATTTACGTTCTGTCCCCAGCCAGGCTCACCCGTGTCAACGTGACATGTGTCACTGCCTGACACAACCAGTTACACAATGAAAGCCAGATCAAAGCTTCCTTCACGGTCCTGCAGAAGGGGGTCCCCCTTTGCTCTGAGGGAAGCATGCGGATTTCCCTGCAGAAGGCGAGCGATCTGTAGGGGGTGCGATTTACAGTATGCATCAGTGACAGCCAGTGTCATTGTCATTTTAGGCTTCTGCACACTTGTGCTAAGAGACAAAGCAGGAACGCCGCTCTTTCAGATTCCTTCGAGCCAAAAATGCTAACAAAACTAACAAAAAATAGAACTATGTTATAAATAAACCCATTTGCTCCTCTCCCTCCCCCACCCCATCCCCCTCCACAAGAAGACAGTTCTTGTCCATAGGCTGGTATGTCAGGACACCTCGATGATCTCCATACTGCCCGAGAAGCTGGACTGCTTGCTGATCTTGGCGAGCTCCTCGCAGGTGCCGGCCTCAGCCATGCCGTCCTCAAACTCCATCTGGCAGCTGCGACGTTTGAACTGTTTGTCGGAGGCGCCGCCGGGGGTGTCCTCGTGCCAGCTGCCCCGGGAATCCCGCCGCTGGCCCGGCTTCTCGCGCAGGCACACTGGCTCGCGGCCGCCGGGGAGTCCGCTGCAGCTAAAGGCTACGTAGGCCGAGCTGCTCCCGAAACGCACGCTGCTCCCCCCGGCCGGTGAGTCAGTGCCCAGATACCACGGGCCGTCTCCCGTGGGCGTGTCTGGGGTGGTGGCTTGTGCCGGGTCCCTGTGCTTGGTCCACATTTGGCCGGAGCCCAAGCCGGGGAGGCTGAGGAGCAGTGAGGCCTTCAGGTTCCTGCCCAGGCCAGGGCTCTTCTGGGGGGCCTCGCCTCGGCCGACGCTCAGGCTCAGCGTCTGTGTCGACAAGCTGCCCATGCTGCCCTCGCTTTCGCCTTTCCATTTCTGCCGCGTCCAGGATTCCCCGCTGCTTGTCGATTCCAGCAGGGCTGGACTGTCCGTCACTGGGGAGAATGGACAGATGCCGTTGAGGCTGCCCGGACTGTCCAGCTTGCAGAGCTTGGGCACATTCTTTGCATCCACGAGCTCGCTGTCCACGCTGGAGGCATCTCTGGGCCCGGGGCTCGGGTTATAGGCAGAGTGGATGTTCAGGGAGAAAGAGCGCTTCAGGAGGCTGGTGTCCAGGATGTGCTCTGACGACAAGTGCAGGCCATTGAGACCCTGCTGGAGCGAGGCAGGGCTAGAAGCTTTGGGTTCCATCTCCTGGACCCTAGGCTCCGCGTCATGGAGTCTGCTCTCCAGAAGAGTGCTCCTGCCACTGCCTTCCTGGGGCTTACGCTCACGGTCCTCCTCGAGCTGATCGATCAAGTTCTTCCCGGGGACTGAGGACAAGGCCTTCAAGAGCTTCAGGCCCTTCTCAAACTCCAGCAGCTGACCCAGAAAGTTGAAGTTTGGTGATATTGAGGGCCTCCTGTCCTTCACAAACCTTCAAGATAGAGAATCAGAGAGTAGAATTAAGATTTTGATTCAAAATCACAGCACTTGGGCACACAATCAAACTAGCTGCTACAAGCACATTTAATAGTTTTAACACTGCAATTCGCAAATCAATTAAAAATATTACATTACTTGAAAAGGTTATATACAATACATAAATCGTTTATAAGAAGCAAAAGCTCTAAAACAAGGAATTTTGGCTAAGCAATCATGGAAGAAGTTACCTGTAAGCATCATCTGATGACAGGCCCATTGTTTTCATAATATAAGCAATGGCGATTGTAGCCGACCGGGAAATTCCCGCCAGACAATGGACAATGACTCGACCGTTGGACACTTTGGCTTTGTCTACAAAGACAAAGAGACAAAAATGATCAAAAAAAGAGAAAGCAGACAAGAGAATGCCCTAATGGGAACTAATTTTTAGTAGCATGAGTCAAACCATTTAAAAACAGCAGTTTATAAGCGAGCTGGATACCGGACACAGAAAGCAGAAGAAGCAGTGAGCAGGTTTCCACAGACACGGAGGCGATGGAGATTCTCCTTACCGATGAAGTCGTTGGTCTTCTCCAGCCAGGGCAGGAGCTTCTCACAGTAGCTGTCGTTGACGGGGACCCGCAGGAAGTGGCTCTCACAGATGAAGTCGGGCTTTGGGCAGGTGTTACTGGCATTCAGCACATAGGTGATACCGTTCTGAGCCATCAGGTCCTGGAAGCAGGGACACCTCTGTTACGATTCTCACCCTTTAAAAGAGGCATAAACCCTCCTAACCTCAAAGCTTCTTCTCCAGCGTACTGGACAGCAAGCAAAAGCGGTAAAAACAGTCAAATAAAGAGACAGTCAATAGGCCTGAACTCAGTCATTCATTATGCAATATGATAGGATTTTTAGTCAATTTAAGGATTTTAAAAGGCAAAAGGCTCAATTTTCTTTTGTTCATTCTACGAAATGAAGCATTGTTTTTCCATGCAAGGCAACTAATTATAATTTTTGTAAAAGGCACTTTTTCCTCATTCCACTGATGTGAAATCACACAGCAACTGTACACCCAAAGGTGTGTAGCAATGCAGTCATACACTGACAAAACTCCTTGAAATAAACCTCTTCTTCATTGCTACTAATTGCATGTGTCCGAACAACAGACTGCAGAGTAAAACCAGCTGTAAATGATTAATCACACATGGGATATTTTGACTGGGCAAACAGGCAAGACACAGCTCCCATAAACCCTTGCCTAGGTCCCCCCTCACCTTGTTGAGGACGTCTTTTTGTGAGCCCAGGTAGAGGTGGGGCAGGATGCGCGTGGGACCCACGTTGGCTACCGGAAGGCAGGGCTGAGAAAGGCTCATGGGAAGGATGGTAGTGGGTTTGCCCTCGCAGAGGCCGGGGAAGCAGGAGGAGAAGGCCGCAAAACCCCCTGCAGAGCAGGTGCAGAAAAGCAGCGTTAATCCCAGAGGACATGGGAAACTAGAGATAGCATTCATATGCAAACATTGCTAGTAAAACTATCAAGTGTCTGTTTCTTCTTAGAATAATCTATCAATAACTGATGACAGGAAAAAAAAAGCCCGGCTTGCAAAAGTTTAAATTCCATTGCAGGTCGGGGCACATAGCTGGGGCTCCAGTTGACAGATGTAAATGTCATATCACCAAAAGTCCCCCAGGGAAATCCTGATCGGGCTTAAGCCACGTAATGGTACAGAAATACACTGGAAGCAATGAGGTGAGGGAGCGGCAGTCATTTAAGGGTTATTGTCAGGTTAGGTAATTTTACAAACGAGTCATCGGGTGACTCACTGGTGCTATTTGCATGCAGCTGAATTCTGGGAACGTGAGCGCGATTTCAACCAGAAAGGCAAACACTGCGCTGACACGAAAGGGCTTCCTCAAGCAAAGTCCTCAGCACCTCTAAGCAGATAAGATCCATTTCTGTGAAATGTGCCCTGTGCTATAAAAAATTAATTTGTGCACAATCACTATTCCAGATCTTATTCAATGATGTAAGCGAATAAAGTCATAGATAAAAGCAAGCACGTTTTACAAAAAAACACTAAAGTCACTTCTAAGAATTTAACGGCAGGTGTGACATCTTTGGGAGAAACGACAAAACGGGGAAATCCACAGAGACTTGGACTGATGGGTCACACAGAATTTCATTTGAGGCCCTTGGCCTGGGGTCCGGGGCCCCACTTCCTGAGAGCCACTCCCACGGGGGCCTGCAAATGCTCAGAAGACAGCTGCTGCAGGCATTACGGAAGCCAGCTCTCTGGCTGACATTCGATATAAACAGTGGTTTTAATAATTACTTACCTCAGTGTTTTGAATTACTCAGGTTTGTTTGCCTTGGTTACAAGCTTTTTTTTTAACCCCAATTAAGCTTAAAGACATTTTAAGACCTAGTCTTCTACTTTGTTAAGCCCTCTAAACAACAATGGCTATGTGTAAGAGTAAACAGGTATTTGAAAACACTACCTCATCAGTGGCTATTTAGTAAGGCAGGTGCACAAACAGAGAGGCTGTGATACCCATGAGGTCATACCTACTAGCCCTGTGGCTGAGTAAGTCTGTTTGCATAATGAATACCACTGACAACGACAACCAGTCAATGATGCAAATCATGTTATTTTTACATAAAACAGAAAGATATTCAGAATAAGCCCAAACCTACAGCTCAGTGGGATGTGCTGAGAAATGTACAGTACAATTGTTAATATTTTTTTTACAGAACTCTGACATTTGCTTTTCACTACCCAGCCTTTTAAGACTTCAATAAACATGAATAAACATACTCGACTAAGATGGTAAAACCGGTTTTTAGGTAGAGTTACTGTACAGCACTGTCCTACGGGCTCCTAGTGCTATTCCGGTGACTGGCCCTTTAAGAGCAGTAAACCTTGCCCATTCCCAGCTATTAATGGCAGCTGCCATAGGGCATGACATCATCTCTCAACATTACTGGTCGACAGGCAGGATCTTGCCTTGTCGGTTTTGGACGAGGGCGATCGTGTCCCCACGCACATGCTGACATACAGGTTCTTTGGCTGCACCCTCCCCTGGACCTGCTCTGAGCCAGGGCCTCGCTTCCCACACCACTCCGATCCATTTCAGCACTGCACTTCAAACTGTCTTTTTTTAGACACAGTCAATGGCGGTTTACAGGGATTTAAGTCGATTACATCCACAACGGGCTTCTATCCCTACTGTGATGATTACTTGACGGTGATGTCACACAATTCAAGAAAAGCTCCGGGGGAAGCTGGGAAAGCCGTGAGCTCTTAAGGTTCAGTGAGACCCAGGAGCCACACAGTAACCGTATAGAGAGGAGAGCAAATGCAGAAACATACAGGATGATCTGCCCGTCATCTCGCTCCTAAATACTGCTCCTGTATGATACCAGAACCCCAACAGGGTGACATAAAGCCAGTCTCCTGTGTGCACGTGTGTGTGTGTGTGTGTGTGTGAGTTTGCATGTTCTCATGTGTCATGCGAGTGTCTGGGTAGTCTGGTTTTCCTGTGCAGACCAAAGACATGCAATTAGGCTAAATTGCATCTCTAAATTCCCCAGAGTGTATAAAATTGTGTGTGGTGCCTGAGATGCAGTGGCATCCCATTCCGGTTATATCCCATGCTGGGATGCGGATAATAACTGTGTGATTTTAAAAAAACAAACAAAAACAAAATCGCAAAAAACTGAAATGGAACTTACATGAGCTTATGCATGGAGTAATTAAGTCATCGAGTGGAAATATTCCACAAAGCTGTAGCCAGGACTGTACAGCGGCTAAATAAAGAACAACCTATGTTGTGGGTAGGGGGGGAAGGGGGAGGGGGAATGGGCAAACAAACATCGACACACATCACGCAGCTAGTCTAAACCGGGAAGATATCTGGCTGAACTATCACAGTGTTAATCCTTTACAAATGCAATTTATCTTCATGCAACAGCATACAAATGCTATTAGTCATTATGGAAGAGAATCGTAAGCCTTAATAACAAGATGAGGTTTACTTTACAAGAGTCCTGGAAGTCTGTTTAGGAATCCAAAAATAGTGCCTAGTTTACTGCAAGACATTTGGGCAAATATAGAAGTTCATCATCCTGTCTGGCTGAAAAGAACCCAAATTCTACAAATTCATACAATATTTTGTCAACACTCAGCCTTAATTGGTAACACTGCACGTCCACCTCTTTCCCCTGGGCTGGGTACTCTCTCAGTGCCAGAACAGTACTTCTGTCATAGCCGCACAATGGAGCCTCAGTCATTGGACTTGGAGCTGTACATCACATGACCTCCATATGAATAGTCACCATGGAAACAAGAGGCATGGCTGTCACTTCTACCAGTGGCAGAATGTGGCATCCCACCCAAGAAAAGCAGTGTAAAGGACCGCTCCAGCAGAAGTAAGAGTTCTGCACGGTGGAAACAAGGGACATAAGCCAAGGCTTGAGCCCCATGCTTCCCCACAATGCACACGACCACCTCCCTGCAGACAGACATACGTCACTGCAAAGTCCCCCCTGTCCTGCACGCCACGTGTGGTCTGCAGCGAGCGTCTGCATGGTCACACTGAATGACACTTCTACACAATGACGTTTATAAAACCAGCAGCCGGCAGTTAAGACGGCCTCACAAAGCTGCCACGAGGAACAGAAAAGGTCCGATTCAGTTCCTGCCCTGATTCTAACCTCAAGTGTGACTGTGCTTATTTTGAGGGCAGCAAAGGGGTGAAAGCCAAGGGAAAGGAGGTCACTGTGCCGCGGAAGCGGACTTCCTGTTTCCAGCACTTATGAAAGAGCTCTGTAGGCTGCGGCCCCTGGGGCAGAGCCACTCCCTTTAACTCCCTCCCCAGCGCTGCCAAGGAAAACAGTCCTGGACAATGAATGAAAGACTTCAGGGACAGTCTGTGAGAGGCCCATTAATGCTTTAGATCACTCCGGCACACATTTAGGTCATCTCAAAACAGCCAATCAAAATGCAGCCTGCTTCTTCAATAAACAATGCACCGGAACCATCACCAGTAGGATCCTATAGCGCCCAGGCACGCCCCACAACTCCACTCTTTACTGCTCTGTATGAGCTCCTCGGTGGAAAGAGGCACATGTCATAATAGCATTTTCATCTGTTGTTGCCAAATAAATACCATTTTAAATGCTAAATGTGTCATCATTAAAGGAAGTTAATTCCACCTAAATGAAGAAAAACAACTGCACAGTGAGATTTTAATTTTCACTGCATTCACCCATTTTGACAATGATCCTAGATACTAGATAAACTGTGCAAACCTTACAGTGCTTCAACAATGAGCACCTTTCTAATAATGTGCCACCTCACACTCTCACTGCTGACAATGCTCTGAATGCATGGAAATACATTTCACACCAACACACATCACAAACAAATTTATCCACATATCAGTATAAATGTATTGAAATACTAGTTTAAATTATTATTTAAATTATTCAGTGATTATATTTTCCCTAAAGACACTGACTGTAATGCAGTATGTCATTGTCTCTTCAAGAGAAAACACTTAATGTTACTTAAAATGGGTGTTCTTAACCCTGCAGGGGGCGCTATTGTAAAAAAGAAAGACTCCGAAGATCAATTTCTCCATAACAATGACAGATGAGGAACGCTAATATTTTTCATGAAAAGCAAAGCACAACGAGCTGCTGTTTGTAGAACAAGCTGGACCCCAGTAAGGCTCTTTGCCTCCTCCCCTATTCCACTGCAAAAGGACATTTCTGTGGTGCACTTATCCTCCAGTCAGCCACTGCATGATTATAATATGATAATTATAATAAAATACTTTTTATCCCTGGAAATTGACACAACAGCCATAACCAACAGAGGGGCCACGACGAGAGTCAAATGTAACGCAGGTGCAAATGCTTAAACTCTCAGACTCCCTCCATATACTGCACTGCTCTCCTAGGGAGCTTTATTAGGAGGTAGGAGACCAATCTCCCCCCCCCCCGACCAACACGGTTTCTGATCTCTCAGCCCGGTTGGTGTGATTTTCTCAGGGATGCGGCTGATTGCTCGCTGGGTGCTCCTCAGAGCCATCAGGACCAAACGCAGAGGAGCTGTGCAGGTCAGCTGGGGGTGACTGGTGACACGGGAGAGGGCGGCATGGCATCAGTGCCCGTGGCAGGGCACGGTTACAGGCATCTCCATCTAAACGGCTGCCACTGTTTCCTCACGCACTGCTGCTCATGCGGGCTGCAGTGCCCATCACAGATCGACAAATGACAATAAATGGGAGACTCAACACCCCCCACCCCCCCCGCCTGCCACACGAACCTCGCAGCTCCCGACCCTCCTTCATCCTCCGCACCCGGATCTTGAGCTTCATCTCGCTCTCGTGCATCTCCTGCCAGAAGCGTCCCTCGCCGGTGGGGGCGATGACCATGTC